CCATATCTGTCTTATATTACTCTTAATTCTGTGTGTGTGTGTTTCCCAGTGACGTTTTAACTTCTTGACAGTAGCAATCATGCATGGTCCAAAGTTGACATCATGTAAACTATGCTGGAATGGTGGCTTATGTGTAGTATGCTTTCCACAGATCCTGTAAAATCATAAGGTTTTCTAGCACAGTGTTAAAACTGTCTCTGTGTCGTTATTCAGTAAAGAGTTTTTGAATGAACAAGTCCCCAAATGAATGTGCTGAATTAGGACCTCCAGTAGCAGGGCAAGAGTTTGTACTTTGTCTTGGCTTTTGAGAATCACCATAGGTTCTGCTTATTGTCCTAGTAGAACAAGACAGCTTTTATTGTTGAAATGTTCTCATTTTGAATTTTAAATTTTTATTTTTACATTCTAGTGAACTGAGGTCTTGTCTGTAGAATGAATCTGTGCCCTCTTGCTGAGTATCTCTTAAGGCATTTGAGGCTGTCAAGGTTCTTTCAGTCTTCTCTCAATGGGTTACTTAGCCCCAGTTTTCCAGCCTCCTTTATATAGCTTCATTTTCAGATTCATGACTAACCAGTTTGCTTGTCTCCTGTTCCCTGCTTGCCATTAATCCTTTTACAATGTATAACTTAGTCCTAAATAGTCTTCCAAGATCACGGCTTGACAGTACAGAGCGGTGCCTTTGAGGATGGGGCCTAACAGCAGGGTAAATTTGTAGCAGTAGCACCTTATCTTTAACTTGCGGAGCTTGGGGTCACTTTCACGGTGGTTCTGCCAAGGTGAGATATTCTTTACCTGTTTCAGTAAGCCTTTTCTCTGCTATGACCAAAGTCCTGGCGAGAAAACTTTAAAGAGGAAAAGTTTATTTGGTGGTTCACAGTTTCAGAGGTCTCAGTCAATAGACAGTCATTTCTGTCCCACGTGGCTCCTGAGGCTGAACATCAGGGCAGAAGAGTATGGTATAAGGAAGCAGAGAGGGAGCTCTGCTCAAAAGGACACAATGTAAACCCCGAATCACACACCTAGGGACCTTCATGAGCCGCACCCTACCTGCCTGCAGCAGATGATTAAGTCACTGAGTAGGTTGAAGCTCATAAGCCACTAATTTCACCTCTAAACCTTGCATAGTGTCACACATAAGTTTTTGGGGGACACTTACTATCTAAACCATAATATCGTACTTTATTTACTTATTATTTTGGTGCCAGGAATTGAACCCAGGGTCACTCAACACTGAGCTACTTCCCCAGCCCTTTATTTATTGAGAGGGTCTCACTAAGTGGCTGAGCCTGTCTTTGAACTTGTGATCCTCCTGCCTCGGGCATATGACACCCTGCCCAATAACACCTTACTTTAATGCAAATATTAATTCTTGTCATTATTTAGTGTCTCCTGAAACTTTGATTAACATGCTGCCTTTTCCATATTAAAAAGTTGAGTGGATCTGGGCTCTGCTGCATAGTTACAGATCAAAATTCAGGTACATTTTTTGGGCTTGCTGATTTCTCTAACTTGCCATTTCTCAGCCTGCACTGTGACACATATATCTGCTCATAGTAGCTGGGGAAGGACTGTAAATACCTAGGTAACGTAAGGGTGGTTTTATGAAGGCTCTCTAGCTTACTACCTGATCCTCTGAGGAAAAGAGAAGGGACGTGTTAAGACTTCCAGATTGCTTTTCCTGCATTTCTTTTGGATTCTAGTTTTTACTATAACCCTTTATTTATCAAGTATTTTTTTCCTCATAGTAATTCATTCTATTTCCAGTTTTAATTGCTATCTTTATTTGGGTAGCTTTCAAAAATCTGCTTCCTGTTCTGCCCACTCATGGAAGAAATAGCATTTATGAGCTTTTGTTCATTCTCTTGCTGCCTGTCCTCTTCTTTGCTTCCTCCTTTCCCCACCATGTGTCTCTCATTCATTTTGTATTTCTCTGTGGCAGCATTATTTTCCATAACAAAGACAGAAGATGACAGACAATCCTAGTTTTAAGGCAATCAGCAAATAAATTGGTCTTTCAGCTCCACTGTTCCTAACAGTCCCTTTCTGTCCGTAGTGTGTTGTTTTGTAAGACTCGTGGATGGCAGCTAAATTTCTTCTGTGACTCTAATTCTACATCAAATCTATCCTGGAAAGCAAGAATTGTCAACTGTGTCTTGCTGAAATAGCACCGTACTATTTCACTTCCTTGTTGAAAGTGGAGCTGGGCTGCTCTCTTGCAGCTGTTGGATCCACTCACAGTGAATGGACTGCCCAGAACCTCCATCAGCATGTCAGCATATGGCCTGGGCATCTTCCAGATGTCTGTGGTCATCTTGGACTCAAGGATGGGCCTCTGAATAAGGGAGGCCCAGCCCCATCCCAGCACATTCAGGTCTTAGGTCTTGGGCAGTCCTTCGTTGTTTGAGGCTTGATAATTTTCCTGGACTCCTTTCAGGTGCCTTTGATTTCTCTTAATACACTTTTGGTCTCTTCCAGATAATATGGTTCTGTGCTGTGTAATAGGGCATCTGCTAGCCACATTTGGCTCTTCATAACTACAGTGAAGTGAAATTGAAGATTACTTTTTCCTTTACACTAGCTGTATTACAAGTGCTCAGTCTTTGGGCTGGTTTTATTTTCCTTTAGGGCCACAACCATCACTGCAACTTCCACTTACTGTTGTGCTGTACAGAGTGCCCTGTAATATCCTTGGATGGTGTCAGGAATGTGCTTATGGAGTGAATAGCTGCACAGGAAATGAACACCGTGGGTGTTGTATAACCTTCACCTTCTCTGATCTGAAAACCCAGATAGACCAACACTGTCTAGTGGGATTCTCTGCATTAGTGGGTTGTGAGAGCTGTGCTGTAGCCACAAAGCACGTGTGGCCATTGAGCCTTGGCACGTGTCTGCTGCAGCCCAGAGGCTGAGCTTTAAGTTGAGTTTTAATTATGTTAAATTTAAATACCTGCCTGTGGCCAGAATATTAAATAGCATAGAACTAGACTATAGGTTCCCTTTTTTTCCTTTGTCTATTTTTTTTGTGCTAGCAGTGGAACCCAAGGCCTCATGCATGCTAGGAGAGTACTATAAATTCTTAACTCCACCCTCAACTCTAGAATTTGATCTTAAAAATATTGAACTTCAGTGAGATTCTCACAGTAAAACTTATATGTGAATTCTTGTACTATTGTGAACTTCCACTTGGATGTAAATATAAATAGAAACCCTAATACACAGTGTGGGGGCTGTGATCTGTCACCATGAAACTCCTTGTGAAATGGACATCCAGTGTTTGCTTCTTTGCATGCTCCTGGAGTACCCTCCCTATCTTCCTCTCTCACTGTGACCCTGTCTGTGTGGTATTCTTCAGCATGTTTGTTCTCAGAAGAATGTCCTATGGTTGTACTGAAATGATGGGCTCCTGTGTTTGCAAATGTCTTTCATTAGCCACACTTGATTTTGATAATTTCTCTCAACTAGTATCTTTCTACCCAATATATGCAACTCATCATACATCTAGTAGAACTAGGGACTTAAATAGATCTGATTTTTTTAAAAAGGCCTTCACACAAGCTAGCAGCTAATTTGCTGTATTTTTCTATAAGTTTTAAGAAATAAAGTTTTCACAAATTTTTGGTTTATCCATCTAGTTGTACAGCTTGGTCTCTGTTCTGTCTTGGAGATGTAAACACCCATTTCTTATGCTAGGGTTAAGTAGCTGTGTGTGGATTTCTGGGACGTATGTGCTTCAGTGCACACACAGTGTATCTGGAATAGTGTCCTCAAGCTCACTTAGGTGATGGTGCTGGGAATAGTGTTCTTCAGGACATTGTAAATTCATACTATATAGAATTATAATCTGTGCAATGTGTGTGAACTTTGAAAATATCTACACCAGAATTTAAGTAAAGGTAAGTAGTAGCTATTATTACAGGTTTAGGAGAAAGTTAATAGGAGAGACGCTCAAAGTTGAGAACATTGTACCAGTTCTCTGTTTTGACCATAAATTTTGCCCTATTGGCAAAGGGCCACTGTTTTGTTTAATTAGTGAACTCATCTTGAGGTTTGTTTTTTCTAAGGAAAATGAATAATAAACGGATCAGTATTACCTTTGATAAATATGAAATAAAGGAAAATGTATGCAATTGAATTTCTTTATTTTATTCAATCTATAAAAATTGCTCATTCTTGTAAAATCTGTAGCACACCCACAAGTGTTATATGAAAGCTGCTATTGCTCACAGTAGGACTTCCTGGCCCTCATTCAGAGGATTTGGAGATGTGGGCATAGAGTCAGTGGTGTAGTTCAGGTGGTAGGTACGACTTCCCAGCCTTCATTCAGAGGGTTTGGTTATGTAGGCATGGAGTCTTTGGCATGGTTCAGGTGGTAGTTAGGGCTGGATGCAGAGGTGGTACCCATGTGAATCCAGGTGTTCTCCATGTTCAACAGTAAAACTTTTTTTATAATTTCAAATGGTTGTTCTTAATGTTTTGAAGTTTTGGCTTATGTCACATCTCTGTTTCTTCTAAGTAGCAGAACTTTTTGATGTGTGCATTGGGCTTAGAGTGGATTTTTCATGAGAGCAGGCATTGTGCTCCTGTGCAGAAGAGTTTAAAGTATTAATAAACATGAATGGAAGTCTGATGAGGTTGTTGCCTGGAATAATTCCTACTCTATTTATTTTCCACTAGGAAATATCCCTCAACTTGAGGACTACCTTGGACAAGTATCATAAAGGCATTGAGAAGGCAGCAGAGGAGTGCTATGCAAGAATAGAAGAGAGGGCCACGGAGCTAAAGGGGAGAATGTTCCGAATGTCCACTTGACCGCGCAGCTGCCTCTTGTAGATGGCTTGCCATCTTTTAATTTCTTTGAACGGTGTAGTTAAGTTGAAACTAGTGGGAGTATCAGAAATAACAAATAAAGTTCCTTCAAGCAGCTCTTATATGTTCTCAAAGTGATCATTCTCAAGACACGCATTTAATGTAGGCTTTCGTTAACTTTATAATTGAAATAACTTGTGCAGCTACTTGCGTATCTGCCCAGTCCCTTGCTATGTGCACTGGCTGGAGTTACCTTTGAAGTACCTGTTTTTCTGCTATTTCCATGGTGGCTGTTAAGTCAAGCCATGCTTGAGCCCTGGCTGTGCCCTGAGCATTGTAGGCAGGCTCTTGCATGGTTCTCCTCAAGCAGGACTAGGATATATTGTCACTCCCTTATACATCAGTAATGATGAAGGTCCCCAAAGATTCAGTAGCTGAGCCAAGGTTGGAACTGTTGCTCCTTAGGAGACTGAGGTCTGGAGTGTTTCCCTGACCCCACACTTGGAGAGTGGTTAATTGAAGGGGAAGTTGGAGTGTGATTGTCGCTCTTCCTGGATCCATCATGAGGAAATGGGGGCCTGTTATGTGTTAGGCTTAGGTACTTTCTAAGGTTTCAAGTGCTTTGCTCTTTGTTAGAGACGATGAATGCACTCCGTAGAGACCAGGCCTTCCATGGAGGGAAGCCCTGGAGTGGGAAAAGCAGCAGAGGAGTGAATCCAGGCGGAGGAACTGGGTGCTGAGCTGAGATCCGCCTGCCTTCTCGTTTATCTTTCAGTAGCCAGGAGTTGGGATCTGCAGGAAGTCTGCCTGTAAGTCCAGGAGACATTGTAGTTGTAGCCACAGGCTTCTCATCTCTTCCTGTCTCTATTATTATTGTCACTTCTTTGTTCACATGAATTTCTGGATCGTTATGCTGTGCTTGTAAATCCACCTTTCATGGTACTGCAGCTTCTGCCACAGAGCACTCCCTTTCCAGGACTCCAAGATGCTTCTCAGTCTTCGTCCTCCTTACCTCCGCCATGCAGGATCAGTCCCATCAGGGAGCTCTTCTCTCAGTTCTTAGTTCTATCTTCCTTTCACTTTCTCCCTGAAATCTCACCCTTGACTCTCTGTTCTAGGCTTCTACCCTTCACCTGTATAGCAACCTCTGCTCCTTGAAACTGTCCATTAGTACCCCTGGCTTCCATTATGCATTACCATTATACATCCACACACATTTTATTTATTTATTGCGCTTCTCTTGAATTCCAGACTTGCATATCTGATGACAAATCAGTGTTTGTATCCGTTTGGCATTCTGGTGAAGCCTAAGGGCCTCTTTCAAAAAAGAGTTTTCATGCATGAAATAAAACACCAGGACTACAAGGGAAGCCAGTTAAATGCAGATGTGGTTGTCACATACTGTAATTAGCTTCCCTAACTGCACTTCTGCCCATGAAAGGAGCCCCTGTGTTTACCATGCTCTGCCCTGGCTGCCTCATGTCTCTCCAGTTAGGACCTCATCTGATGCACCTGGCTCCTTGCCTCCTTCACCCGTGTTTCAGTCTGCATCACCCCTTCTTGACCACCTTTCCACTTCGCTTCTACCTAGGCATTGGGGTGTAGTTGACTAATGTGAAATTAGGTCATTGGGGATCTGTGCAGTCTTGGCTTTTCAGGCTTTGTTTGGGTGATCATGGTGAACTCATAGAAGAACCATGGGATATTTTTAATTTCCAGAGGAAACAGAAATAACTGGTAACTGTCAGATGGCCTTGCAGACCCCAGCTCAAGCAGGCTCAGTCAGTGAAGCCACCTGCTTTCCTGCCTGCACGAAACTGGGACTTTGGCTGTTGCTGTGATGAAAAGCAAGGATCATCTGAGCATCATGGAACAGAAATGAAGGTGGCGATGCTTAACCTGATGTACAGACTGCAGTTAGCACTGCTTATTGAAGAGTAAGCGTATTTCAACTTGTGTGTTTTTCTTGTGCATCTTCAGGACATAAATGCCTGTTAGGGTTTTTGGCTGATGACTTCATGAACAGAGCTAGTGAAGTGTTTTCTTGGACTCTGTGCATGCAGTCAGGGACCTCAGCCACTCTTTTTCACTCCTGCTTGTGGAGCTATGCCCTCCAGCCCTGGGAGGTGGCTCCCTCAGCACTATAGGCCCTCCAGTCACCTGCTAGGAAGCACTCACCTCTCCCAAGTGCAGACTTAACCTCTTCCCTATCTTCAGTTGTCCTCACTACAGCATGTCTCATGGGTTTGCTGGGTTATATACCTTCTCCACGTTGTGTGGGAGTGGTGACTCCCTGTCTCCGTCTTCTGGTCTGCATAGAGCCCTGCACCTGATGGTTACTCAACATCAGCTTGAGAAATCTGTTTTTCCTCAATGCTACGTGGAGGACTGGGCTCATCTGGGTTCCACACCCACTGCTCCTGCGTGCCAGGCAGTGCTCTACCACCCAGCTGAGCCCCACCGGAGAATCCAGGGTTATTTTAGCCCAGCAGGAAAATCCAGCATAATGTTCTGGTAGCTTGATATCATCACTCATCTATCTCTGCCCCCAAACAGGTAAAATAAAACCTCACTCAAGAGCTCTCAGTATAATCCACCAAAATCCATATTGGGCAGTTTTGACTGAAGAATAAATTATAAAGTTTAGATTTTGAGGGGAATAGTGATTTGGGCCAAGTGACTTTTTGAAGCTTCTGGGTATGGGGCCACAGCTGCTCTGCAGGCTGTGGCATCGTGGATGCTGCACTGACCTGGAGGAGAAGCTGAGAATTCAGACTTGAGCTCATTTGGGTCCAGCCACTTAAAGAGCAAATATTTAATTCAAGTGACATTCCAAGAAACTCATCCAGTTCATGACAAAGCAAGGGAAATTGATACATGCATCTTGCAGGCTGAAGTTATAATACATCTGGTTTTCATTCAATAGAAGGTTTGCTATTTTTAGTAAGACCAGAAAAGTTTTATATGAATCTCCATTTCAAATTCAGGCCTGCCACCTATTTCAATTAAGTGGGCCCTAATCCTGTGATTGAAACCTGCTCCCCATTCCTACCCAAATTGCCACCAGGGGGCATAACACAACTTGCATAAGCCATGCTGACAGGCCATGATTTTTAAGGTCTGAAAATAAAGGCTGCAAATTTTAAAGCGATAGTGGCATTTCAGAGAAGTGTCAGAACTTGGAGCTGAAATCTGTTCCAATAGTATGAAAATTTGAAGTTCTGCTGAGAGGATGGCCTTTCAAGTTTCCAATCCTGACCCTGTTAGCTTTTGAATTTTATCTGCATTATTCTGTTAGTAATTGGTTCAGAATTTTAGCCCAGAATCCATGTAATTCTTAGAATTTAATTTTCCTGAGAGAATTTGAGAAGCCATACAGTGAGCAAGTCACTTAGGTGAATCTGGAGCACCATCTGGCATTGATGGCTTAGAGTGATACTCTGATAAAACTGTAAAACAAGTCTCTATCCCCAACAGGCTTCTCAAGCCCATTTTTAACTACCACCACAGAGCTATCTCTAACATGCATACCTGGTCATTTCTATGCAGCTCAACAAATCTGAAGGTTAAGATCCATGATACTTCAGGGCATTATTTAGATGGGAACAATGTAACACGGCACAGTCATCTCCAACTAGTGTGTGTAAACTCCACTTGGATTTCTCCTTAAGTATGCTGCATCTGTAGAGATTGGCTTGGGCAGCGGGGGGTTCTCTTGGTTCTGTACTTGAAGCAGGCATACTAAGTGATTTTAGTAACAATCCTTGGGGATTGTTAAAAAGAGCTGTGTGGCTAAGAGCATAAGCTACTAATTCCTCACATTCCTTCTCATACAACAGGAATAATGAATGTTGCACATCAGAATTGAGGGGATTTTGAGCATGGTATCTGCCGTGCAGCTAACACTCAAATGGCAGCTGGTTCTGTTGAGGATGAAGCTCATTAGATTGCTCTGGGGGCCAATCTGATACTTTATATGATACTTCTGTAGCACCTCTGCTATAAGCCTTCCACTGGTGATGGATGGAAGCATGTTTGCTGAACTCTAGAATCTTGTCTGAGTGACCCAGTAGGCACAAGATCTGGAAAAACATTACAGCAGAAAACATTGGCTTCGTATTTTCAGAGCAAGGAGCAAAGATGATGGTTTCCCACCCCAATCCCTGCTGGGGGCAAACAAGCACACAAAACAGTGCAGGCTCCCTTGGCTCCACAGGTGTGGCTGCTGGCTCCTCATCCCTGGGTGAGCACAGGTGTTAAGTGGTGCTTGGCCTTGGAGAACAGAACTTGAGGCCCCAGAGTTTGACTCTGGGTCCTGGGTGTGTTGGTAGGGACCAGGGAAAGTGATATTACAGCTCAGGGTCACACTGGAGGAATGCACCCATGACTAGGGTAGGTATTTTCACAGATCTTCAACAGCTGTGCTTCTCAACTGGTGTGCTCACAAGTTGCCAGACATCTTGATTAAAAGAACTTTAGTAAGCCCGAGTAGTGCCACAGCACACACTGAGCAGCAAAGGTCAGCAGTCTGCCTGCCCACTACCTTCTACCTCATGTCACCGAGCACCTTGCTCTTCAAAGTGCTTTGTACAGGCTAGAAATTGATTGGGGCTCAACACCTGGATTCAGAATGCATTTTGAGAGACATGCTCTAGAATTCTACATTTGCAACTCTCCAGCCTTGTGAGCTGGAACATGAAACAGAAAAGCCCTGAGCCTTGGGTGCCTCGTTTTCAGATTGGGAAGTCACTGTATGGATTAAGTCAGATAAACCACCTGGCACTCTAAATGGCCATTGTTACTCAAGTGGAGGTTGAATCTGGAGTGTCCCCCAGAGGCTCCTGTGTTGATGGCCTCCAGTACCAACATTCAGGGTGGGGCTTTGGGGAAGTGATTAGGTCATGAAGTTCTTGACCTCATCAGTGGGTTGATCCACTGATGGGTAATTTGATGGCATTATTGGGAGTGATGGAGATGATTGGAGGTGGGGCCTAGTCAGAGGGATTGTGATGCTGGGGGTGTGCCCTGGAGGCATTTACTTTGTTCCTGGCCCTTTTGCTTTTCTCCACCCCCCTCCCCCTGCTTCCTGGCTGCTGTGAGTAAGCAGCTCTCTCTACCAAGCCCCTGCCACCATGATACTCTGCCTTACTTCAGGCCAAGAGCAGTGGAGCCAGCCGGCCATGGACTGAGATCTCTGAAACCAAGAGCCAAAACAAACCTTTCCTTCTCCAAGTTGTGTTTTTTAGGTATTTTGTCCCAGAGACAAAGCTGATAACATAGCTAATAAAACCCAAGAAGCTGGTGACAAAATGTGTGAGCTCTTAACAGTGTTAAAGAGAATATAACCCGAAAAAATGTGACATAGTGCTCAGGGTTCTGAGCTGCGGTCTGACTAGTAATGTTCCCTGTTGCTGGCAGGCAACCACCAGGCCAAGGAGTGAGGGTGCAGAAAATTCTAAGGTGCTTAAAGCCATCCTCTACAGCTAGATTTGTAGGGAAAATAGGACAGAAGCGTTCTGTCCAAAAGGTCTTAGAAACTAGCAGTTGCAGTTCATTCTGTGTCTGTAGAACTTAGCACATAATAGGAGCAAAATAATGTCTGGTGCACAAATGAGTGAAGAAGCCCTCCACATTTGAGGGTGTGAGGCTGTCCCATGCTGTTTTCTCCTGCTGATCCCCCCACGTTTCCTGGAAGGGCTCCTTTAGCTCTCTGTTGTTCCAGCTCTAGGCACTGAACGCTTACATTTCAGAAACCTTCTGCTCCAGGCAACCCTCTCCCAGACAGGTATTACACAGGGGGATTCATATACCCAGAATATGGTTCCTCTTTGCTAAGGCCCACGCAGACAAGTCCTGTCCAAGTTCACTCAAGGGTCCATGGTGTCACCCCTTGAAGCCCCATCAACCCAATGTTATTAGTCTTCCCATCTGCCCATGTCCCTGTGTTGGTTATCCTTCACCAGGGAACAGATGGTTCCAATTCTTAGCAGCTTAACACAGGAACTATTTATTACCTAACTCTCAGGGTCAAGGGATCAGTAACAGCTAAGCTGGCTGGGTCTAGCCTCGAGGCTTTCGTGAGCTGGTAACCAGTCAGTCTGCCGGAGTTGCTCTATTGAAGACTTGGTTAGGGCCATAGGATCTACATCCAAGATGGCTCCATCAAGCAGCTCTTGGCAAGAGATCTCAGTTCCTCACCACATGGGCTTCATGGGACTGCTTGACACAGCAGCTGGCTTCTCCTGAAGAAAATGATTGTGTGCATGTGTACTGAGAGAGAGAGGTGGAGACAGGCAGAGATGGATAGCAAGATGAAGCCCTGGAATCTTGCTCCATGTGGCCCCTTGGGGACACATTGGAATCACTGCTAATCAACAGCCCAGAAAAGAGGCAGGCCTCTATGGGCTAGTTGCTGGCTCCACACTTCCATCCTGGATTAAGGTTCCGGCCTCCACACTTTGCTGCCATGAGGACATGGTGCCAGTCTGCTCAAGACACTGGCGTCTGGCTTAGACTCACCTTTCTCTTGGAGCATTTTACCCTGGTCTGATGTGAGCACAGCGGACTTGGTAGCCAGAATTCATTATCTCCTGTGAACAGATGGGAAGCTCTGGCTCAGAGAGGTACTTAGTGGCAACCAGTTGATTCACCTGCCCAAAAGACCCAAAGCGGCTGCCAATGTCTTCAGTAGTTCAAGTCTGAGCTTCTTGGTTGGCATTCAAGCCCTCTTTAAACTGCACTACACTGTCTTTAATCAGATAGCTTTCTCTCCAGCATACATTAGAACAGTGTTATGAATTGCTTCCAAATAGGCTCTGACCATCTTCCAGCTTTCAGTGGAAATGAGCAGATATATACTGACCATGTTTCCAGAGTATAGGGACTCAGAGCCTTAACTTGATAAACCAGGCACAATTCCAGAGGTTTAGGTCTGAGAACTTGAGAAGCCCAAATTGATGTCTATGGCTCAGGCTCCTATATTGGAAACACAAATGTGGCTCTTTCCCTGCTCTTCCTTCTACTATGGCAGTCTGGGATTACCACTGTCCCCTGTGTCTTGGTTCACTGCAATTTTTCTTCGAGGAATCAAGACCAGCCTATCTGCTGTAGTCCCAATGATTTAACAACAGCTGTCTATGTCCACGGAGCTGACTTGCCTTCTAAAGGTGATTGTAGTATAAAGGAGGCCCCAAGGAGGTCAGTTTCCAGCACAGGGACGGATCACGGGCAGGTCTTCACATTGCGTCCTGCATCATTGCTCTATGGAAGAGGTCCTGGTATCAAGGCCCAAATATGTAGGGACTCTCTGTGAAGTTCTCCAGATCCAGTCAAAATGACTCAACGTTTCTCTCAGGACATCACATGTGCTAGGCCGCTCTTCCAGAGTGATATTCCCAGTCCTAAAAGTGCATTTCTAAGGAGACATAGACATGGAACTTGAGATCCCAGCTCAGAAACCCTGATGCATCACAACTGAGGACTACACTAGACTTGATGTTCTACTAAACCACAACAACTAGCACTAGTTCAGTGTTTAAAAAAAAAAAAACCTTTCATGGACTTAATTTGACATAGCTCATCAAATCTATCCTGGGAGTAAATGTTCAGCATATCAAGGGAACCCTTTAGTTTGTTTTTTAAAGTTCATTGAAATACTGAATCAAAATCTTTACGTATTGACTGAAATATATTTTTTTTAAGAAAGGGATATTTTGGAAATACATGCAGTGGCATTGTGAATAATAATGATAATCATGTACCATCATCTGACTACAAGAGAAAAACCTTAGCCAGACACTGAAGCCTTGCCTTCCTCCATGACTCCTGCTCACCAGTAACTATTGCCCTAAGACTAAGGTGTACTGTTCCCAGGAATTTCTTCATCCTTTTGCCAACTGCATGAAGCAATCCTCACTGCACATAGCACGGCTTGCAAGGCTTAGACCTGGAATTGGCACACCACGTGCTCTGCAACTTGCTGTTCCTGCTCTGTGGGAGCAACTGAAGTGTGAGGACTACTTTGTGTACCAGTGCCCGGGCCTGCAACACCAACAGTCAGGCCTGCAGCCAGCGCCCAAAGATAGCTCCAGTGAACCAGCACTATGTCCCGAGCTGCCCCGTGTGTGTGGCCCTCATGGTTTCACTTGTAGGCTTTGCCCTGCATGGCTGTGTCATACACTTCTGCTGGCCATGTTCAGCTTGCTTTCTGCTCACTTTTGCTCTTATGAGTGCTATCCTGTGCTGTGGCTTTGAGAAATTGCCAGATGTGTTTTTATGCACACATGGTGAAATCTCTCTAGGACAGATACTAAAGGGTTCAATTGTGGAGTTTCCAGAGTGGTTTGCCACTGTTCCATAGAAACTGTGGTGTCTATGTGTCCCTTCTCTTCTCAAGTCTGCCACAAGGGTGTGGTGAGCCCCTTCCTTCTCCAGTGTGAGGGCTGGGAAGTGATGCTGCCATGGTTTCTGCATTTACTTATCTCCTTAATTGTGAGCTCGATCATCTGACTGTGTTTCCTCTTTGGTAAATTACCTGTGCACTTTTTCTGGCCATTTTTCCACTTTGTTACATTTTTTAAAATATGCTTTTAGTTGTAAATGGACACAATATCTATTTATTTCTTTTTGTGTGGTGCTAAGGATCTCACACATGTAAGACAAGTGCTCTACCACTGAGCCACAGCTCTTACCTTATTGTTTTCAAGAAAACACGTGTGCATTTGTGTGTACACTCACACACAGACACACAGTTTCTATATTCTTTGTCAGTTACATGTTTTGCAAATACCTATTTGTGGTTTGTCATTTTATTCTCCCACTTTCTTCCACAAATCTTTCACTGTGGCACTAGTCCCTCTGAATTATAATTTTAATCCACTAAATCTGTTAACTCATTAGGAAGTGTAATCTTCTGGATTGTATTGTACCTAAAGGAAGCCACTTGCCACTTATGACTGAAGCCTCTTGCTGGGCCCTGTACTTATGAGGCCCAGGACATGCTCTCTGACTTTTCTTTGTGAATTTTGAAATGAACAGGGCTCTCTCTTCCACAGGCAAGGTGAGAAGGAGCTACTGGGGGCTGGTGCAGGGGTAGCAAACCATACATAGCCCAGGGCCACCCAGCCTGCCTGTGTGAATAAAGCTTAATCAGAGCCCAGCTGTGCCCAGCAGCTCAGATCACGCCACAGTGTCAGAGGTGAGTAGCTGTGACCAATGTTATATGTGCTCAAGTCCAAATTTACTATTTTACAGAAGAAGATTATGGTTCCTGGTCTAGCAGATAACAGTGATCCACAAAAGCATGCTACTATCATATTTGCAGCTTTGAAGCAAAAAATGCACCCAGTGTTTTTTTCTGCATGTTTTGTCACTGCAACCAAAACAAGAACAACATAGAGAACTCACCGTTCAGAGGTCTTAGTCCATAGACAGCTGTCTGTGTTGCTCTCAGCCTCAGGTGAGGCAGCAGTCATGGCAGAAGGGTGTGAAGGAGGATAGCAGATCTGAACTGGGTAATCAGGAAGCAGAGAGAGCTGTGCTCACAAGGGACAAAGTACTCAGGGGCATGCCCCCAGTGACCCACCTCCTCCAGCCACACCCCACCTGCCTACAGTCACCACTTAGTTAATCCACTCAAATGGATTTACCCACTGACAGGTTCTGGAATCCCGTCACTCCAGCTCTAACTAGTTCTCTTGCATTGTCTCACCCATGAGCTTTTGGGGACACCTCACATCTGCATCATAACAGTCTCTTTTCTATCACTCTCTTTGCATCTTAACAATTTCCAGCCTACTTACTTTTCATCCCTTCAATGTTACCTTGAAAGAATGAGTAATATGGACTATGGAGTAATATGAAATATTTTTAAATAATCTGAATCCATTAATAAATAATGCCATAGATCCCTTAATAGCGTTGCCATTCTGTCTTTCATCAACAAATACAGAAGTGGGTCTTTCAAAGATTTCTACCAGAAGTTGCCTGCCGGGTCATCTGCCACTCGAGGGCAGGCAGAACACATTTGAAGTCCTGACACTGCTTCCCCTTTCGTGTCTTGCTCACTGAGGCCACTCCACACTGTGTACCTGGTGCACTTTGCAGGAGTAAGTGGGGCAGACTGGGACTTAGATGTGGGACACTGCTCATTGGTCACCCCAAGGCTGCTGATACTGCTGTCTGCCATCTCACTCTGCAGCCCTAGGCACTTCTGCAGCTCTTCCCATGCTTTTGCTGCTATTCCAGCACTACAGATAAGAGACCCTCAAATCTTGCTCTGTTCTGGAATAATGAGATCAGAAAGAAAAGATCTTTTTCATCTTTTAACATTAAGAATAAAAACTAGTCAGAGCCCAACAGTTCAACAAATATTACTCATGTCGTTGGCAAGAAGAAAAGGATACTTTTGAATTAAAAAAATGGAAAAGATGAACACAAGAGGCATTGTTTGCATATCAGAAAAATTAATCTACATTGAAAAGTGTAAGAGCCTGAAATTCAGAAAGCGAAGAATTAGGGCAGCCCAGCTGAGAATAATTTTCTAGCCAGTTAATTTAATTGCATAAATCATTCCTTTGTTAGCAATAAAAAGATATAATTAAAATGAGATTGCCTCTAGTTTCTATTCTCTAGAAACTAAAGGAATTGATTTTGGGCAAAGCATTCTTCCAAATACCAGATCGGCAAATTACATTTACCTTTTTAGAAAAGCTAAATTATTTTGCCGTAATATCATGGCGAGTTTAATTAATTATAGATCTGCCGTATGATCTTAAAGAAATAATTTATTCAATGTCCTTAGTACAGAAGTTTGCAATCGTGTGTGTCCCTTTGGTAGATGGTGTGCAGATTTTTACCAACAGGTCAGAAGTTTAACAGGCAGCTGTCAGGAGGAATTTGAGGCAGTGTAAGGATTGTTTGGGGTTTGTGCTAGCTATCCTTGTTTAAATAAAAACCACCTCTACTTAGTATGGCATAATTTAACTGAACTCATTTGGATTGGCTTTATTCTAAAATTGCTATTGGTAATTATTTGCTCTCAACATTTGGGATTTAAAGAGTCTATAATTGTCTATTAAATAGGGAAAATCAGATCAAAGAGGAGTGCAGAAGTCTCCCTCTCTGAAGCACAGTTTGTGACTCAGTTGCATGTCAGAGAGAACTTCCAGCTGTGACAAAGAAGAGGCTCCTTTTTATGGTAACAATTTAAATTTTTAAAAATGTACTAAACTATACTTGGCTTGCTCCAGATTTAAAAGTCTATTGGCATGACTTGGCAGCAGGGTTTTGTAGGGTAGTGAGAGGGGTCTTCCATCCTTCAGAGGGCCTGGACTCAGAGGAAACCCAGTCCCCATGCTGTCTCAGAGGTGAATCTCCTCTCATTCTATAGACCTGATTATGAAGTGCCCAGATTTGTTTGGTACAAGGTAATGAATGTTTGGTTGGTTGTGAGAGGTTTACATTTACTGATATCTTAGAACAAGAAGCACATGCCACCATAACTCTGTTCTTCCTGTGGCTCACAAGAAGGTATCCAGGAGATAAAATCACCCAGGATCAGAATTTAGAGCTCCCTCACGATTTCTGCTGCTCAGCAAGGGTCTGGCCTGAAGGAGTTGGGCAAGGAGGACAGACACTTCTTAACTCCAAGTTCACTCATCGGGAAAGAGATCTGAGCTTCCCCTGCTTCAGGAGTCTGGATGATTCTAGTCTCAGCTGGGCAGTAGCTGCATGGAAATCTCATAGATCCTGTGAGAGCAGGACCATCTGTCAGGTGCCAAACACTACGCATGCAGACCTTTCACCTGAAGCCACAATGTTCACATTCACTTGCTTTACCTGGGTGTGGCCTGCCTCTGAAAGCCTGGTCCCTCCTTATCCCTCTTGGTGTGCCCAAAGCTGCGGAGGCCTCCTTCCCTATTCCTGGTCCTGTGCCACCAACAGCATAGGCTTGAGCCTGCAGTCAGTGCAGCAGAACAACTGCAGACGCGAGCTGAGGTTAATCAGCAAGTATACTGATTACTTGGAAAATTAATGTGAATTAATGAAAATGAATGTGGTTTCAGTTGGGATTTTTAAGCACTGTAAATAATATTAAATAATATTACATTGTTAGGATTAGAAACAGTTGAAAAGTTAGTACTTTTAACCTTACCCCTAGGTTCTGAACAATCTCTGCTAATTAATCTAATCTTTGGCTATTGAGGTGGTTTCTGTGCATCGTTTTCTTACATAATTTGCATTGGTCACATGGGAAACGCTATTTGCTCCACAGGCAATGTGGCTTTGCACACACTGTCTTTTTATGGAGCTTGCTCATGGCGACACCATGAACATAATGAACTGGGGAAGTTGAGGGTTGTTGCCCCACGATCTTCAAACCTGCCACGGGTCCAGAAGTCCCAGATGTGGGTATCAGTGCTGGCAGGTGCAAAAGAGTGCTCAGGGCATCCCACGCACCTCCTGGGTGCCAGGGCTGCTCCTGGGACTTTGTGACCATTGCTGTCATGTGGGGGAGGAATATCCATTCACCTAGATTTCCAGGATCTCCAGCTGGACACAGTGGCCACGTCTTTAGCCAGAGTGTTCAAGACAGGTTATCTACAGTGTCTAAGAGGATCTCTGTCTTCCTACCTCAGAGTTTAGATCCCAGGCAGCTACAATCTGGAGCAGGTGGCAGTGAGCTGATCTTTAATTATTTTGCATCAATAACATATAAAGCTTTCATTTCATAGTGTTTGAAATTAGTTTCAAAATGTCCATTGGCCCAGAGAATGTTAGAACCCTAAGGGCTGTGTCCTGAGTACTGGTGAGGTTAATAGTGTTGCTTCAAGCTGTCTGTATCCTGGAGATGGGAATTTCACCCACAATCTTGTGTCCATGTCTCTTTCTACCCTGTTCCATAGTGTGGCCACTGCCCCCTCCCTGTGCCTCCACACTACCCTGGCCCATCTCTTCATGCTCCAGTCACCACTGTTTTGCTGTGCACACAAACCACCACATCTGGGAACTCCTTGGGCCCAGGAATGAAAGCTCATCACAATTTCCTCATCTGCAGGTGCTTGTCACGCGCACTCTGTTACCTGGTTATCACCAGCATGGGGCTCACACACTCAGTGTGTCACGGAGTACCCCATTCCAAACAGCTACAGCTTAGCACTTCTCTGGGCTGTGTAGGAGGACCAGAGTTCATGACGCGCTTCCCCTTGTCTACAAGTCCAGCCCAGACCTTTCTTGTGAGCTCCAGACCCAGGTACATGGTGCCTCTGGGCCTCCTGCTGAGGTGCACCATGAACATCTCAAATCCAACATGCCAGAGACAGCTTCTCAGAGGAAGGGCTGCCATCAGGGGCCCACCCAGCAGACGAGAGCCTTTCCTCATGTCTTCCCCATCCCCACACGATTCAATCAGCAAGCCCACCAATAGACTCTTTTAGGTATCTCTGGAACCCATCTTTTTTCTTCCCCTTGTACCTACCAGGTAGGCTGTGCCTCTGATCCAGATCCAGCCAAGCCACAGCATTCACTGTTTTTACAAAGTTTTACTCATTGACTTTAAAGATTTCTGTTTTTCCACTGGGGAAATACAGGATACAGGCCAAACTCCTCACCTTAGATCCTGAGGCTCTGGGTTTCTTTCTCGGGACATTCTTGCCTCCAGCTTTGTGCTTGCTACAGCTTCTACACCTGAAGACTCACCACAAATGTTCCATCTGCAAAAATAAGCCCTGACCACACTGGTAGAAAGAGCCCCACTCCCAACCACTCAGTTGCTATCTTTTACCTGAAAACAAGTTTACAATACATGAGGTTATCTGTTTGCTGTCCATCTTCCTCCAAAAGAAATTAAGCTCCTTCTTACTGCTGGCTGCACTCAAACCCACACTCAGATGCAGGCGGGAACACTCCCTGGTGTGCAGTGGCCTGTCTGCATGCTTGTGGAACCTCTGGGTGACGCGCTGACACGCAGAGGCCTATCCAGGGGCTCTTTGGTCTCCTGAAGCCTCCCTTAGACACCGATTATTTTCATTAATACACCAGGTTCCTTCTCCATCCCTCAGCACCTTTAGCACACATAGTTTTACCCCCGCCACACACACATGCACACACACAAACACACATTCTCTCTCCTTTGAATGCTTAGGAGGTCTTTCCTAACCAGGACCCCCTATGGAGTCCTCACATATTTTCTTCTGCTATCAAAGCATTCCACACTCCTGGAATTGCCAAAAGATACAGAGCCCATGCTTCTTTTGTTTGTAGTCCTATTTCCAGGGCCTGGTTATGCCTGACACTAGTAGGTGTTCAGCAATGATCTGTGGGAGAATGAATGAAAGAAGGAGGGAATAAGGAACCCACGCTCTGTGGGGGAGAACCTACCCTCAGAGCAGATCCAAGGGCACTTCCTTCTGAGAGGATGGAGGAGCACCCTCGGGCCCCAGCACGTGGACAGTCTGAGATGCTGGTTGCATGGGCACTGTGCACTCGAGAGCTGAGCTTGGCACCACGCAGATGAGTGGGAAAGCTGTTCCTGGGTGGGAAGTGATTAGTACGCATTTGGCAGAATGTCCTGGAAGCAGCAGCAGCCTAGGTGGTACTCTTGGAAGACACTCAGCACTCAGCCAAGGACAGACCATGAGCAGTAGCAGAGACGAAGATGCACCTGCACCTGGTGGCAGGGACCTTGGTGCAGGGAAGCCCCCTCCCGAGAGACCACTGTGGAGCAGGGAGGTGTGCAGCATGTGGTGGAGTCTCCAGAATTAGGTCCAGAGAGAAGAGAAACCTGGCTCTCCTCACATCAGAGGTTCATGTTTCTCCAAGCCTTGCCAACTAAAGGCGTTTTTTTTTTTTCCCTAATTTCTTAATGAGAAAGGAATTGAAGATGAGTGTCCAAATTCTTTTTTATGTTTGCTCTATTTGATGTATAGAGAGTTCTTCCTGAGTTAGTTATGTTCCTTAAAGTGAATATTATAATTTGCAGTTCATATTTTTATATTTTCATAAAGTCCTGATTTTAAAAAAGTTTCAACATCATTGTACAATGGATTGGGTAGCTGCTAACAGTTAAAACGTTGACTTTCAAATTAGCAAGTTAAATAATTTGTAGTTTTGCTTAAACAAGCTTATTTGTCTCTTGGTATGCTACATAAAGTTCCATGGAATCACTTGAAAGAGGATGAAATTCATTAAATGACTTTCCCAACCAAAGCATTTCAGGGGTTCTGATGGAGATGACCCAGCTGGAACACAGGAGGACCGGCTCTGCCTCTGCTGTGTGGTCCAGGGGCCTGGACAGCACATCTCCCCACCAGGCACCTTCCAAGGCCCACTGTAAGTCCTATAGTATCTGCAGAAGGAGTTAGAGTCCTCATGAAGCCGCACAACTTGTGTGAGTAGGTCAATACAGGACTCCGGTTAAACAGATTCCTGAACAAATGGTGAATACTTTTTTAGTATGAGTATGCCCCTACTTTTATTTGTTTTCTTACAAAATTCAAATTTAACTGGACATGCTTTACTTCTTATTTGCTAAATCTAGGAACCCTAATTAAAATTAATTCATCATTAAGAGAAAAATACCATTTCTCCCAGTCATCTCTGCCCATAGTTGTGAAACCACAGAAATCTGGAGAAACAAATTCATGCTTACTATCAGAAGTGCCTGTGGCTTTCCCCAAAACACAAATGTTGGGTTGCTGAGACCTGAGAAAGGAAAATCCTGGGAGCTGTGCTGGGAGGAAGGCAGCTTGAAGTTGGTGACCGTCTTTCCTCGCCTGGCCTTTCTCCAAGCTCATCTTCCTGGGAATAGCAACTCAGGGTGGTTGCTGTGTTTATCTTTGATGGGGCCAGGTGCTGGGGAGACCATAAACTCAGTTCTCAGGAGTGCAGAAGTTAACATCTCCTTGTCAAGGGGCCACAAACTACATTGAATACCACAACACACTGGGGACCAAGGGACCCTCTCTTAAGTCATAAACAACCGGCTGATTGACGGGACCTAGGAATTTGCATATCTAGGCCCTCCTTTTAATTAAGCACCTCATTAGAAAGCACATAATGTACACCATGGTCATGAGAACTGTGACAGCTATATGGCAATTTTATAGCCCAAATTTAATCAGCAGGTGCTTATTAATTCTGCTCTAAAAATCCTCCCTATCAAGACAGTTGCCTGGGTTCTCTCTGCCTGACAAAGAAGGGAGAGACTTCTGGGGTTGCTGAGAAAATAGATGGCCAGCCTCTTACTGTTGCTCCAAATTTTCTGTCAGTATTGACTTGAGCTTAGAGAAAACTCCCCTGTGGCACCTGGGTCCACCACAGTGCACTTTAGAACCATGAGGAGGAGCCTCCTTTGAATCAGCCAGCTCTGAGCTTGCAAGGATGGGGTCTACACTGCCACAGCTCCCCTCTGGGGTGCTCCTTCTGCCTCCTCCTGGCATGTCCCCAGACATGCCCAGCCTCTCGGTTCTCTCAGATCCTCCCTAGGTCTGAGGCTTGCCATTATTTTACCTTCTGGTTTTATTAGCACCATACCATTCCCCCAAGTGGGTTCTGCCTGGAGAGTCCTCACCTGTCCTGGCTGAGCTGAACCCTTCTCGTCCTGCAGCACCTGAGAGCCCTTTCAGAGGCCTCTGGCTTCCACCAAGAAAGTGCTTGGAGGTCTTTCTCTGTGGAGCAAGAGGCTTTGACAGGTCTGTACTACCAAATGCATATATGGCAGATACATGTTTTAAAATATTTAATTTTATACATTTATAAAAAATAATCTTTTTGTAGAAAAGGTGAAAGATGGAAAAATATAACTAAAGATTACCAATAATTTAACCAAGTACAATGTGAATATTTTGACATACTGACTTTCAAACCTTTCTCCTGTACAGGCTAAGAGCTGACTGTAACAACTGCCCTGGCCTGCCTATACTCTGTCCATCTGCCATGTGTCCATCACCTGCATAGGCCTCGTAGAACATGGTGCCAGCCAGGGTTCGATGTGAGCCTGCAGTCCTTCTCCCTTTCCCACACATCACAGGGACGGTGCTGCTAGCTGAAGAAAGGTCTGAGACCTGCAGTAGCCACCTTGTCCATCTAGCTCTCAGACCACCTTTGGCTAGTCAAAGCTTCCCTTGAGAGCCCTGCCCAGCCTCAGCCCTCTGCTGTACAATCACCAGCTACATGAATTGTTCTTAAACCACAAGTTTTGGGGGTAATTTGTTAAACCCAACCAGCTTACTCCTGCGTAGAGATGGTAAATAGGAGGACCCCAGTTACAAATTTGCATCCTATTTTCCCTTAACCCATGCAGTTCTACAAATATTGCAACAAAATTGACTCAGGTGCCTTAAAATAGGTTTGAAATTATAATCTAGAGCTGATATATTATTATCTTAATCAGTATTAATATTATAATTGTCATAATATTATTATATTATTATATATTATGTTTACAGTTTTCTTTTTTTGGTATCGGAGAGGGAACTCAGGGGCACTCAACCACTGAACCATGTCCTCAGCCCTATTTTGTATTATTTAGAGACAGGGTCTCACTGAATTGCTCAGACCTCACCCTTGCTGAGGGTGGCTTTGAACTCCCGATTTTCCTGCCTTACGAGTTTTATAGGTGTTTCACATCTGGGACAATGGGACAAGATGGGTTAATGTTTTAACCAGAGCCCTATTATTTAAACATTGTTGCCAAGCATGTTTCCCACTCTAGGAGGTATCCTATTAATGTAACTTAAAACTTTGACATTTTCCTATATGTTGCTTTTAGTTTTTTACACTTATGTAGGGCAGTACAATGGGCACCTCCAAACTAGAGACAGAGTATGGGGCCAACATCCTCATGCGTGTTTCAAAGGCCTGGAGGCACTGACAGGCTTCTTCCAAAAAGATAACATGTATGAGCCAGAGTGGCTCCTGACCATGAGCTCACCACAGCAAGCTTTAGATAAATGGTAAACTTGGTGGTCAGGAAACGCCTCTCATTCTACTTTTTATTTTCTATGAGTGAAGATGTACAGATTCTTCTGTTTAGTTTGCTGTTTGTATTTACTCTTCTGTCCACAGTCTCTGCATAGTCCATTTCCTTTTTCTTACTTAGTGGTTGTGCCATGGCATGTTCTACATCAAAAGCAACCTATAATGGCTGATGTTTGTTCAATGTCACCTAGCAGGTGGACACCTCACATGAAGTATCTCGTCTAAATTCTCACAGTACCCTCTCTAAGTAGATTCCATATTCCCCTTTTCCCAGACGGGAAAACTGAGGCTTGGAGAATTTTGGTGTTTTGCTCCAGTCTACACGAGGCAGCTTCTTCCTCCGATACCACTTCTCAGCTCTGTTCATCACCATTTAACCTGTACACATTAGTGAAGCTTCTCTCTTCATGAGTTCATCACTTTTCCTGTTAGGGTATTATAGAGCAGGCCCCAAATGGCTGTAGTCAGGCTCCCTCGCCAAGTCTTCCAGTAGGCTATTTGTAGTATGTAGCCAAGGTCAAGAACATCCTGACTCAGCCTGTGTACCCAAGGTCATACAGATTTGCCTGTGATCATGTGCCCACTGATGTAACCTGTTGGCAGTGAACCTTCTTTGGCCTGCATATAAGAAAGACCTGTGGAATACTTCAGGCTGACTTGGAGTTGAAGCTGGAGCTGGGCCTGGGGGCTGCTACCACCTCCGAATAAAGCATGTATATGATTGTAGCTGCCCCTTGCATCTTCTCCTACC